CACCACCATGAACTAAAACACGACTCACGCCAACGATGGAAACCACCCTAATATGGTCGAAAAGGTTTCAAATCTAAAACCCCCACTCAAATTATTATACGATATAATAATTGAACAGAGAGCAAAGAGAAATTACCGCAAGGCTAGTGACGGTGAGACAAACAGCAACGAGAGGAGAAGGATAAAGCAACTGTAGTGGGGTATGGAGGGAGAAAGGATGTACGAGATGGTGGTCAATTTTTGTTGAAAGGAGAGAGAAAATTGAAAGGAGGAGATGATCGAGGAATCGTGTACGGTGGTGGTAGGAGGGAGGGGAGAGAATAGTAGTGGTGGTGGTGAGAAGGAGGAGAGAAAATAGTGGTGGTGGTGGTAGAAGAGTAAATAGTGGTGGCAGTGAGGGAGAAGAGAGAAAAATAAGAAGTCAACGTTGGAAAACCTGAGCCAATGTCAAAAAAGTGTGTTAAGGTTTCATCTTACAAAAACAAGTAAGTCGGCAGTTTATGTTTGCCAAAAAAATTTAAATGTTTTTTTTTTTTTTTTTTTTTTTTTTTTTTTTTTTTTTTTTGTAAAATTGTGCTTTAAAAGGTTTTTCCTCTCAAATTTTCCGTTATTTAATAATTTGTTAAAATAATATACATTCACATTTATACACTCCTAAAAAACTTTTAATATATATAAATGTAAGATGGAAGAGAGAAAGTATAGAATATAAATCATGTCTTAAAATAATCTCATGTCGAGTACAATATACATATAAACAAAAATAATAATTGTGTATTATCAAGGGTTTACATTTAGTGTGCAATTCAAACAGATGTATCACTATATTTGCTATCTTAAAATGTCAAAAAAAAAATATATATAAAATGAGATATAGTAAGGAAGCTCATTCTTAATTCACTACTACATAAACGAGTAAAAGCAACGGTCAAATACAATGGTTAAATCTAATGCAACGGTCATAGCTACCGCAACGGTCTAATGCAACGGGTAAACGGAATTTTTGCCTATTGCAACGGTTTTAAAATAATCGTTGCAATAGCTCTTCATATGCAATGAATTTTTTGCCTATTGCAACGGCTTTCCCTTTACTCGTCTAATTTCATTGAAATCCACCCCTTCTTTCCCTTACTCCTCTTTCTTATAGTATGAAAATTTTCAAGAGCAATAAGAGCATTATCGGTTATCAACCTTTCCAGCACAAATGCACTCTGATTTTTCGTCACTACATCATGAAGAACATACTTTAATCTTATTACAATTGCTTTTGAGATAAATTTGTAAAGCACGTTACAGAGAGCCATAGGACGTAACTCAGCAATATTAGTAGGTGATTCAGCTTTAGAGATCAGAACAATGTTAGTCTTATTTACAATATCAATAGACAAAGTGTCATGTAAAATTTGGTAACAAAATTTTCTATGTTATCAACTATAATGTACCAAAATCGTTAATAAAAAATAGCATATACCATTTGGCCACGGGCCTTGCAAGGGTGCATTTGTTGAGAGCTGCAAAAATCTCATCCTTGTTAGAAGGACGAGTGAGATATATGTTCATAACAGAAGAGGTGGCGGGCTTCACAAGGTTCAAGGCGTCATCCACATTGCTACTCGACGGATTTACCGAAAAGAAAAGATCATTGTAGAAGTTGCAAATTAGATGCTTAATTTCTTCCTCCTCCGACCTCCAAGTCCCCGACTCATAAAAGGCCCATCAATAGCATTCTTCTTTTTACGTTGTGAGGCTTTATGTTGGAAATATTTTGTGATTTTTGTCTCCGAACCTATGAAACTCTTGATCGAATGTACTAGTAGGCCTCGTGCTTTTCATTCAAATCATTAAGCATCTTTCTAAATTTGAGCACTCCTCACACCACTTGTGACATTGGTTTTTGCTGAGCATTACGCAAATCAGCCTCCACCTTCCCAATTTGCTTTCCTACCTTGTCAAAATTTTCTCCACTCCACCCAATTAAGCCTCGTCCCACCGTAGCCACCCTCTCCATTGTAAACAACCCATGCCCCTTGACTGTTCACAACTCTCATCTAAAAGCGTGTTAGTCTAGAACATAAACCCCATCCTTTTCTTCGACTTGTTACACATAATCTTCTTAAAACGAACCAAAATTGTAGTGTGGTCCAACTTTTATCAGATCAAATGTTCAACAAAATGCTCATGAAAGAGGTCCAACCAGGAAGACGAGGTTGAAAAGCAATCTAGCCGTTTTCGAACACGTGTATCAACTGAATTCCCCCTTTCCCAAGTGTACCAACTTCCTTCGTACCCCATGCTACGCAACTCACAGTCATTGGCCACTTCTCAAAAGCTTTGCACTTCTCTTCTTAGCGTATCCGCCCCTTCCTCAATTTCATCATACCTGAGAATTTAATTGAAGTCACCTCCAAAAATAATAGGAATATCAACCCCCTTAGCTCGCACAAGTGCCGAATCAGCTTCCATGTTTTGTGTTTTTCCTCCTCTTTTGGCCATCCATACACCCCATCAAACCTCCACATTCCTATCCTACCTTCAAAAATGTCACCATAAATGTAGTTTTGGGAGAAAGAAATCATGGTGCAATCAATCTCTTCCCTCCAAAACAAAAATAAGCCCGCTGCCTAACCTCTACTAGCCACCCCAAAAGCATTACCAAACCCCAAACTAGTCTTTAGCCCTCTCCGCATTCTGCTTATCATTGCTTTCGATAAAAGGATTATGTCGAGGGCATAGAAATTACGCCATTTACGGAGTTGACAAACTAGTTGCCCATCCCCTGGCAGGTCCAACAAGACCAACCCCATTACTGGTGCAGAATATACAAGTCTTGCCATACACATATCTTAGATCGACTCCCTCCTTGGGTATCTTCAACATTTAAGGCTACCTTTTCCAAGTTTCTTTTATGATCTTGGAGACTAGTATCGGTCATCTCATGATCTCCTCCAATTTTATTTTATTTTATTTTATTTATTAATTTTTTTTTTTCTTGTCCAAACACAAACAAATCAAGGCTACTAACAATCCTTTATTTCCACCTCTCCATCTCCTTCTCCACTGAGCTGAGTCAAGGGTTGTGTTCTTTTTGCTCAAGGAAGATAGCTCCATAGTCAGGTCATCATAAGCATTATGCGAATTCTCCGGCAGCTTAAGGGTGTCCAAAATATCACTTATATATATATATATATATATATATATATTTTATTTTTGATAAAAAGGAGAATGTTTTAAAATAAAAGGTTTGGAAGAATTGAAATATTTCCAAGGCTTGGAAATTGCACCAAGTAAACAAGGTTTTTATATGTGCCAAAGAAAATATGCCCTTGATATTATTTCTGAAGCATGATTGTTAGGAGCGAAACCTACAGATTTTCTAATAAATCAAAATCATAAATTACCTTTAGCAGAAGGAATGAAAGGATCTACGGGAAGTTTAGCACAATGTAAGAGTCTTGCTGGACAATTGATATTTTTGTCTTGCTTACTCAGTCTATATGTTATCTCAATTTATGCAACACCCAATGGAAAAACATTGGGACACAAGCAAGTCATGTGTTGCACTACTTGAAAAAGAATCCAGGAAAACGGACTGAAGGGCGGGGTAACCCTGATTGGGCGAGTAGGTTGTTGGCTAGTTTGTATTATGTCCTGGAAAACCAAGAAGCAACATACAATATCTTTGTCTTCTGCAGATATCGTTTGATGGCATAGTAATTTGTGAGCTAAAATAGTTGAAGCAGTTACTAGGGAATATAGGGATTCATCATGCTCAAGGCATATATCTCTTTTGTGATGGTTAGCCTGCGTTGTTTTTTGTTCATAATTCAATGTTCCATGAGAGAACGCAACACATTTGAGTGGACTGTCATATCGTGCGAGATGCAATCAAGGATGGTTTAATTTCTTCGGAGTATGTGCCTACGAAGGTGCAATAGCCAATTAGCAAACATTTTTACAAGGCACTTGGGAAAGACTCGGTTTGAGTTTCTACTTGGCAAGTTGGGCATTCCAAATCTTTATGCTCTATGCTATGACTAGAGGGGGATATGGATATTGATAAGATAATAGGGAATATAAGATAATATTTTATTGGAAGATTATATATTAGAACCCTAGTTTTTTGTTGATTAGGATACTATTCTGCAACTTATATAATACAGTAATAGTTTTCATAAATAACTGCGAGATTATTTTATCAAAAGGACATAAATTACCTAGCTATCAGACTATCAGTTAAATTACTTTAGAATCGGCAAATGAATTCAAAGATTGACACTTTGAATCGTTCTTCCTACAGATCAAATGAAGAGAGAAAGGAGAATAAGGGGGAAAACATTCAATTTGATTAGCCGTCACAAGTCATCCAACAATATTTTGTTAAGGCACTTGCATAGTCAGGAATTGAATATCCCTAAGATATAAGCGTTTACATGATCAATCATCATTTAAGACCATTTAACGAACATCAACCGTAGCTGGAGTCGTACTTGTCAACTTTTCGTATTTACCACATCACCCTTAACAATAATCAAGTAAGACAGTAGGAAGGAGTAAACAGCATTAAACTTGGGATTATGAGACGCATACAGCCCAATCTGCATTACCATTATTTTCATAGTTTGCTTGTTAATAGTAACTAGTAAATATCACCTGTCACCTAGAGTTTTAAACTAGTCCAAAATCTAGACATTTAGTTACTGAACATGCTACTTCTGTTATCACAACTGTTTCTTACCTTTGGCTGTTTGTGCTGTTTTTTGCTCAATACTCTACAATTTAGAGTTACATCCCCAAAGAAAAACAATAATTACATAAACCTCGGGAATTTATCACACAAAACAGCCATTATAAATTGTAGTGATCAGATAGGTCTACAAACAGGTGCTATATCTTACAGAAGAGGTTGCAACTTTCTATATACAATCTGGCTAATCAGCCATAACTCTAATTGGAAATCAAATTGATCATGATAAAAACGTTCATTTCAAAATCTCCCATGATTTCACAAGATAAATAATAAACCACTAATAAATTATTAAAAAGTATCATTTCATGAGCCAGCATAAATCACAACATACACAACTGGGACATCATGGATCTTCATTTAATAATATATATAAAATTCAAACCTACATTCAAATTTCAAAGCTTCAGAGCTAAAATTATCCCATCACGCTCAAACTATTACTTGATCTTAATGATGCATGATGAAAATTGTGTTAGCACCAACTACTATGAAAGGCCTCAATTAACCCACTTTATGATGCAGTGAGACAAATTGGGTAGAAAAAAGGTATTCTCTGGTGACAATCTCCAAGCCCACAACGTCAGCTTGGCATTTCCACAACTTTGTTGAGGAAAATTCATCAAATACACACAAGGCAGCAGCATGTAGATCAAGTCAAAATTGATGAGCATAATCCTTTTAAATCACATTTGACAATTCAGTAACCACAAAAACACCCATTAAAAAAAAATAAAAAAGGAAAAATAAAAGAGGGGGGGGGGGGGGGGGAGCTCACAGACTAGCATAAAGCTAATTAAAGTATATACCATAATATCAACAGCACTAACCCATTAGAATTAATGCATTACCGAGGGCAAAAAATTTGTATTTCCATCTCACTCACAAAATTTGGGAGCATTAATCTGAGCAGGAGCAGCCAGCCGAGCGGATGATCTCATAGAGGGCCAGACAGTACAATATATATGGCTTGTGTCCCACCCTCGAGCAACCTTACACCTGAAATAGAAGACATCACAATAAATTTTCATCATCCAAATTGGTGCTTAGTATTAAATCGTTCCTAGTACAAAACCACCGAGCAATAGAATGTCTAAAGTGTAACAACATATTCATATCAGCCTGTGAACATGGCAATTAAACACACAAGCAGACGAGCAATACTACTAATAGAAGACAGTAAAACATCAACTGCACCATAGAAAAAGCACAGCAGCAGAATAGATGCTGACCAGTTATCTATTCAAACAAATTCAAAACTGATTACATATAATATTTTGGAAAGACAAACCTAGAAACAGGAAAATAAGCATAATTGATTCCTCATAATAATGAAAAGAACACATAAATCACCTGTTGCTTAGAAGGATCCTCTTCCACTTTTAGCACAAGCATGTGCACTTTAATGCCAAATCTAACACGATTCCAACTATATAATCACTAAAAATAATGATGGCACCAGTTGGAATCCATGTCACACAATCACATAAACCAATCTCAAGAATACAGCAAGTGGTTATCAATTTGTTGCACCTCCTATCCCATATCATCATCAGCTGTAGGCTCCAATTACCAGCATCAAAAATTCTATTCCTCTGTCAAGCTGCCCAAAGAGACTAGTCAAAAAAAAATAGACACCCAGCACCCGAGTGTAGAAGGCTATCCTCTGTTACAGGGCACTTATGTGTCTCCATCTACCTGAATTGCCACTCAGGCCATAAGAATTAGGATGATTATCACATCCCAAAACTCCTGTTGTATATATCTCCTGAATTGGTCATTCGAAACTTAGCATCTTCATAACCACCATAGAATTTGTTACCCAGTCTCTCATTCCTAAGGAGCTCTGCTATACCAATATCATTTGCAGTTTGAAGCTCACTCCAATTATCCCAATGGCCATTAGAGACTGCAGTATTTCTAGGCGGTTGCTGGAGTGAAAATTGTGAAAAGGGGGCATGATTACTAACTTGGGACTGGTCCATATGTCGAGAGGAAAAGCCATATGCGTCATTTGGTGGAGAGAAGTTGTCCCTAGCTTCAGTATATCTGAGGTTCTGATGGGGTGAAAGAGATCTTTGCATAAGTAACTGAAGTCTTGAATCATTTTCAAATGCAGGCGGCTGTACAGGGTAATTCGACCTCATGTCTATAGAGGAGTTATTGAACCCACCAGGGAGCCTCCCTTTACCGACAGCCAAAATAGCAGGGTCTATAAATTCAATATCATTAGCAGGGCTTACGTTTCCACTTGGTGGTGTCTGGTAAGGGTTTCTGAAGAACGAAGGAGTGTCTACCATGTGGTTTCCTGCAATAGATCCAAAATTAAATTCTTTCAATTGTCAAAAAAAAAAAATTCAAAATGTCAAGAGGAAAGACAATAGGAGAGTATAGTAACAAACCAGACTTCATTAAGTCAAAAGTCTGATCACTTCTTTCATGTGAAGAAAAACCTGGAGGCGGTGGCCTACTTGGTGCAGAGAAACCAGGTGGAGCTGAAACCTGAGATCTAGAGACTGTAATTCAGATAGAGAGACTATGTCAGTTAATATTAAGAAACGACAATTAAAGGATTACAAACAGGGAAACATTGACAAACTACTAATATGGTAAGAGAACCTATATTTTCCTACTTGCCAAAAAAAATAAAAAAAATAAAAAAAAAAATAAAATAAAATAAAAAAAAAAGAAGAAAAAACATAGTAGGCACTCACGAGAAAGTTTGTTGGTAGGAAAAATGGAATGGCCACTAGTCAAATTATCTGATAGCTCAATATTACGATGAGGAAATCCAAAACCATTGCCCATTCTATCAAAATAAGGATCTCTAATCCCATGAAATTCCTGTCCAAAAGGGGGATTCTTTGCTGCCTGGCCAATATTGCCAAGCGAAGGCTCCATATCGAATAAATGATTTCTGGGGTCCTCCTGCCTTGCAAAAGAAAATCTGGATTGATTGCTATATTGACCTTTGAAGGAACCAGCTAGGTTTACCGTACCCTCTTGTTTATCAGTTTCGTGCAATAGCTTGGCCAAATTTTGTGGGGATGTCAAAGAATCATCCCAAGAATCAAGATCCAAGGATAGAATATTTGATATGATGTTGTTCTCTCCCATATCTAGAGCAGGTTGTGACTCGATATAAGCAAGCTCACCGTCAAATCTTCCCATATGACTCCCTTGCAGACCTCTAAATAAAAAAGAACTATCCTGTTCTGGAGTATGGCTGACAAAACGGTCCAAGAATCCGTTAGAAGCAACAGATGCACTAGATACATTTGTTGTCAAACATTCATCAGTTAATCTATTTACAATAGAAGAGGCAGCGGTATAATTTCCTGCACAATCTGCACCACCATGCGACTGTAAAGGAGCCCTTAAATGACTCAAAAGATGAAGCGGAGATGATGTGGGTATCGCTGCCTGATTTATGACTATAGCATCCCGAAGTCTTTGATTATTAAAATCGTCTTCTGTCTCTGAAGATACATTATGTAATACCGAAGCTTGCATATCTGATCTTACTTCAGATGCTTCTTTTACAGCAGTCAAAGAATTAATAGTAGTAGCAGTAGTAGAAGATGAATGTTCCTGAAGCCTCTCAGACTCAGGCCACTGTAAACCTTGATTCCTAGGGGATAAGAAATTATTCAGACACAAACCATTAGGTCTGTCAACCTCAGAATGTTCACTATTAAGCTGTTGGTCAGTGCTTAGAGATGATAGATCAGAGCATAGTTTCTGAATTTTTCCGTCCATAACAGAGCTACTCCCCTTGTCTTCGCCAGAAGAGCAAGGTTGTCCATCTAAAGAATTTGTACTTAAAAGCTGTTCACCACCTTCTACATCACTACTAATTGCTGGGGAACATGATGACTGGCTTACTGACTTTCCAGCTGAAGCAACTAAAAGTGTAGAAGAGACCTCTGAAACATTTCTCTGAGAACTATTACCAGCATGCTTCTTCACCATTTCTGGATTTTCCATTTTACTATTAGTTTGATTTGCAATTATTTCTTCATTTGACATTTGCTTCTTTCCAATATCACTGGGAATGAAGTCAGAAACAATTGTTGCAAGCACTGGCGGCTCATGAACTGTCTCAGCCTTCTGCTTGGTTGATCCATTTGAGCCAGCCAAGCTTACAGACGGAAGATTGCAATTGGAAACGCGTGCTCCCCTGATAAAGAAACAGAAATGTAAAACAATGAACAGACAATGATAAAAGGGAAAGAAAGAAACATACCATGACGCTGCTGGCGGTAGGGCACCAGATCTACCCGAACTACTATTTGGGGGTGAACCTTTTGAATAGCTTGCAGAATTCTGCAACCAAACAACCGCGATTAGAATCTATTACTACAATCAGCAAAAACAATTGTAGACTGCATTTAATCATGTAAACGGGAAAAGGGGACTACCATACTCTTTAACAAAATGTCAAAATCTCAACCTAAATATCTAATATGGTATACGTCTAGCCAACGTTTTGTGCATGCAGTAAATAAGTATCCATACTAAGCAGAAGACATGAACATACACGTAATAATACATAAATGTTAGAACTGTCAAATGGGCCGGTCCCTATTTCTTCATTTTGGTTGGCTTTGAAGATCTTCCCTTAAATTAGCCTGCTTTGGCCCTGGACAAATCAGGTTGAATGTTAACGTTAAGAGCATATTAAAGTTGTTTTAGACAGTATAGGTAAGGTTCAAGTTGGACTAACTGAATTTGCAGTATTGTAGAGAATTCTGATGTCCCTTCTAATTGGATTTCTAAATCTCAGTTCAGTTTTAGCTTGGATCCGGCCAGAATACATAACTAATTTTTGAGATATTTATACTAACCTTAACAGTATTATTTTCACAATATCAAATTTTTATAATTTATACGTATCGATAATTTAATATAAAAATGGTCTAACATTTATGTAAGCAAGAGAGTCAACTTGAAGTATTTAATTTGGGATAAAAGGAGTAGCCCCAACAAAGAAGGCACACTTCTCAGTTCTCAAAGATTCAAGCAAGACTCTTTTCTCCTTTTTTTCTCAACTTTTGGGCCCTCAAAACTCATTAACTCTCATCGACATAATAAATAACACTTCAATAGATAATACAAGCATTGCAAAATGGACACGAGATGATACCAAATCAACCAGGTGTATAAAGCTTGTCATGCTAAATAATATCTATTACTCATCAAGAATCCAGACCAAATCTTTACTGAAAAAAATGAGTTCCAGCCAGCAAAGGCTACGGAAACCTATTTTGCCGAAACTCAGCATGTTCTCACTCGAAATTCCTTTATTCCATTTCGTTCTCCATAGCAAACAAACAATTAATAGAGGATATAAAAGCTCAAGGAACGAAACAAATGGAATGTAATCAACCATGGACCCCAGTTACCGCACCTAAATAACGACATTTACCCTTCCAGTTCAGAGTGTTATTGCTAGTTTAGTTATAAGTTCTACCCCAAAAAAATGCTGGTAAATTAATGCACCTAAAGAATGTCGGTTACCTCCATGGACACCTCAAATGAATATTAGCCAGTTAATGCACCCAAATTATGTCAACTATCAAAAACCTTAAAGCCTGTACGAGTGTACGGCATGAATGGCAGTTTAGCTCTTGGTCTTACCCCCAAAAAAATTGTAGGTCAATTACTGAACCAAAATTGCCACTGAGGAAATTCCAACAATATCAGTTCGAATTTTGATCTAGTACACAAACGTACTCCATCCCTAACAGTATGCAGAACTTTGATTTCTGGGATGTTCTTTAAAGAATGCAACAATTCTTTTCTAGCCATGTGCTCTCATCAACTTACTCTCCCATCAGATCACATGGTCCTAAGTTATTTCACCTCCATTTAACCAAACATTGAAATGAGTCCAATATGTACTAGGTGGATACACTAAGGTGCTGAGGGAGTATGATAAAAGTTATGTAATGGTTAATTTTAATGAATGTTAACTTTAATTTTAAAAATCTAACAGAAGGCTGTAGACTTCTTCTAGTTTCCAAAAAAAATTCTAGTTCAAAACTTGCATACATTACAAGCCGTTATAGGCTTACAGAAAAGGAGAACTGAAGAACCATCTCTCACACTAAAACAAGATCACATGCTAAAAGTTGCCTCGTTACATACAAGGTCATCATGTACTTAATAGACTAGCATGACATGGGCAATGAAAAGTTTAGTGCATGTAACATCATTTATTTCACATTGAGCTGTAAATAATAAGTCAAGCTAATAGTTGATTGTGTGTATGTGTCAATATGTAAATGAGTGCAGGGAAAATCTTTAGATTTTGATTTGCATGCAAATTTCCTAAATCCAGACATCAATCATGTATTTTAGTCATTAAAAGTGAGAGTAGATTTAGGTAATTATTTTAGTCATCGACCATTCAACTGCAATTTCTTTTTTTTTTTTTTGTTTTTTTTCTTTTTTAACGGGGGTGGGGTAGGCAGTCTTGAAATTGAAATAGTGAAATACTCAGTACTGTGTGAGTGTGTGGGGATAGGTGGGAGACTCACGTGATTTATTTACTGTTTCTTTCTTTTCTTTTTTTTACAGTACTTTTATATTTTTTTTAAAGCTGAACAATAAAAACTACTCTAAACTTCTACTTTGACCTATTTCTTACCTTAACTCTGTATTTTTTTTAACTGCCGTGTCCCCGAGTCCAAATTCAAAATATGGACTCTTTTAAAATGTGTCCACGGATTCTTAATTTTATAATATTTCGAGTCTAACACTTGGACCCGTACCCAAGTCCGACACCCGTACCCGAGTCCAAGCTTCCTAGTAGCCTAGTAGGAAAGAGTTAAGAAACAGGCGCTTAGGATATTTTAATAAATTTGTCCTATACCTTCCTTAGTCTCTTCCTTACACGCATCCGAAAGGAAAATGTTAGAAATTAAGAAAAGAAAATATAGCACAACAAATTTTATTTGAGTCCTAGCCAACAACACAAGCTCTCAAAAAGCCCATTACAGCCATATAAATGCTAATCTATTAAAAGGTGTTCCTAAGAACGTCTATACGCCACGTAAACCCCTTCATTTCGCCATATCACTTACTCAACTCCTTATTATACCACGTCATCCACTCAACTACTTAATATGCCACGTCATCCACACAACCAACAATACTCCATGTTGTCTCAACTATATTGAAAAAAATATATGGATGAGAAGGTTCGAACACTTGACCTCTTAGAAGAAAGGTTATTGTTTAACCATCTAAGCTATTGTCAATTATGCTTTAACTTTGCACAATAAATAATATTATACTACTAAGTATTGAAGACGCATATTGCATACAAACTATTCAATGCTCTTAAAAATTAGCAGTTGCACAACTATAAAAGTGGTAACCCGGGGCAACGCCCGGGCTACTCACCAGTTGATATATCAAGAAATGTACAGGAAAGGGGTCTTACAGTTGAAGTATTTTTGACAGTCGGCTTCTCAATTACAGCAGAACTAATATTGCAATAATCATCTGCTGGGGGAGGCAATACAGTCCCTGCACGCCGTTGCATATTATTGGTAACCCCAGTGATTTCCTGAACTCTGATCCAAGAAAGGCAAGTCAATAATACTGAGCGGTTAAATTGGACTTTTTTAAAAACAAAAAAAATAAAACCAAAAGGCAAAGGCAAAGAAAGCCAATGCTAATCCATGAATGCGAATCACATTTCAGATAAAGGCTGTAATCATACAAGAAATTCAATAGTCCAACTATGTAACACATCACCCAACAAATAAAAATGTGGCGTAGTGACACTGTGACAGAAGGGGTAGAATTGATATAGCATATTTATATGAAACTGAGTGAAATAGCATATTTACTAGAATTTAAAAGCAGTTTATAATTTAAGGAAGGCCTAAAATAGAAATGTGGCATAGTTACATGGGGTTGGTGCAGTTTATAAGTTCAGTAGTTTATCATTTTTCTAATTTCAATTAACCACTTTATCCTCCAAAGTCCAAACAGCAGTAATTACAAGGCCAACAACAATTTTAAATGCATTAGTAGATACACTAAGCTAGAGCCGTAAGCAATCAAGTATCTACACCCTTTACCAAATTTGGATGTCCTTAAACCAACCGTTCCTTGTCAAAGAACAATGAAAAACCTACATTTTCAGCAAGCAGGCTTATCAATACCTTGTGTAGGCAGATATGATTTCATCTTTTGTGAAGCTATCCTCTTGTGAACCAATCTCATGCAAGTATAAACAATCAGGGTTGGTGCAGGGCTGTAACAAAAGAAATACACTTAATGTGAACACTGAATGTTATATATATGTCCAATATTATGAATTAACTAACACCCGGATATCATACCACATTCCTTAGCCATGCATGACAGTATTTTGTGGTTCCAAAGCATGCTCTGTAATACAACAGTCTAGTCTTTAAAAACAAGTAATATAAAATAACACAAAGCAAGCACTAAGAAGGTTTTGATTTCATGCTCAGCCCACCTCAAAGGCCTAGCATCCAAAATGAACCCATGCACTGACTGAATGCAACGAATTGCTTCCTCCTCTTTTGAGTAAGTAATATATCTGAAAACAACACGCTGGTCATGCCTTCTGATAGATTTTATATATTGCAATGGATCAATAAAAACCTAAATAAATAAATGAAACTTTGTGCTGTCTAGAGCAATCTCAGCATTGAAGATATAAGAATTCAGTGAATCCTTAAACCTAAACTATATTACGACAGCAAAGCTCAAATGGCAAAGACAGACATTACTCAGATATGCAAGAAAGCTCTAAGAGCTTGAAAATGTTTTAGATTTTAGTGAACAATACCAGTTCAACTTTCAAGCTCCTTTCAAAAATCAATTCCGTCTACTTCCTCTGTTCTTTTTTAATTGACTAATAGCCTCATGGCACGCAATTTAAGAAAGATAACAATTACAATACATAACATAACATAATTACATATAGCAGATAACTCGACTTACACACTACAAGTATTGTTTGCAAACTGCTGAATGGTGCCAGCTGAAGTCCGGGATATGGACACCTTCAAAACCTTGCCATACTGGGCAAAATAGTCTTTATGTTGAAGAAGCTGCCCAAAATATTGAAACAATTAACTACCAAAATTGGCACCCAAATGAATATGAGGATAAAAGGGGGATCGACAAAGCACTCACATCTTCATCTGCAAGCTCAAGAGGTAAGCCCACTATGTAGACAAGATTTCTTTGAATAACACGAACGCTGCTCAATTGCTTCCTGCTATCAGATGTTTTAACCTTTGCTTTCTGTGACTTGTGTTTCTTTTCCATATTAACTTCTTGCACCAACCTGATAAGAAACACATTCAGCAAATAATACATGAAAAGAGTTGGGATGTGACATGCTTTTCTTCCTTCTTTTTTGGGTTTAGGTTAACCAAAATACAGCGCATTCTGAAGTATGAACCATTACAGTGATGGCCTAACGAAATAAAATAAGATAATAAATCAGTAAAACAACCTTTCACAGTTTGCAGCCATCCCTACAATTCGGTCTTTATCATATGCAGTACGACAGGCAGGGCACCGTCCCTCTGACTCATCCTTCTCAGCCATATCCATTATGTGATGCCAACACCACACACAAATCTGCACATAAGAACAGAAAAATTAATACATTTGCAGAGAAAGTACAAGTTCAAACTTCAAAACTTGTCAACAGAGATTATAACTGTCATTAACTATCAGGTAGAGTCAGCTGAAACTAATCAAAAATAAATAAATTAAATAAATAATAATTTTTGTAAAAAAAAAAGGTATGGTTAGGGCTGGATTTTCAGTGGGATGCAACACACAACTGCTTTCCTTGTCAGAATAAGGCAGTGCAGATGGACCCTTATCAAGAAGACATGGATCATGATGCAAGGCCGGATTTTAAGACAACAAAAATCTAATCATTAATGGTTAGATCCTTAGTTTGTATTAGCTCCTACCACTCTTTCACATATCCCATGCTTTCTCTAAAAACCAGCATTAATAGACTAATTCCTCACTCTGCATCTTAGGAGCCAGATTTAAAGACAAAGAAAACAAAGGATCAAGCAAAGGGATGAAAAATAACGGACAAATGGAGGAAAGAACAGTCGTGATTTAAAAAAGTAAAAATATGGTGCATGCAACTTTTCTGCCCTAATCAATTTAAGTTCCTAAAGCAGTTAATTGCAAGCTAAATAATCTGACCTAACTGAAGTACTGAGCATACCAGCACCACTCTCTAAATGGAACAATTACCAAAATCTTACCAGGATTTTAAAAAAAAAAAAAAAAAAAAAAAAAAAAAAAAAAAAAAAAAAAAAACACAAATCCTAACACAACCCCAGTCAACCACAACAAAATCATACTGCATAGCAGAATCCACAAGAGAGAGAATGAAGAGGCAAACAAATGGAGAACACTCAATGAAAAGGAGATTCAAATATTATTCCAACAGCAAGTATGAAGTAAATTCAATTTGTCAGATAAACAACAACACAACCAACTTCTGATACATATTAATCACCACATATGCTGAGTGTTTGCCGGAGGGAACAAACAAGTGATATTGATTTCGACTATGTAAACCTTTATATTTAACACCTCATCATAAAATTCTAATATTACTCATGATTGTAAATAGAACCAAGCATGATGCAATCATAACAAGCCACAAAAAAGAAACCTCAATACAACCTCAAACTTCCACTTAGATAAAAGCAAAAGGTTTGGACTGGCATAATGCAGGTCACACAATAGCCTAACGTTTGATTGACTAAACATTAAGAAAGATTGTCTTACATTCAAGATATTGTAAAATTCCCAAATTCTTAAAACCAAGATCAAAAGACATTAACAGTTATCAGCCTATCAACAAATGTTAATTATCATCCCTTAACTAAACAGCCATAATCAATTGATCTGGCATAAGCAAAGAACACTACGTTGTAAAACAAAATAAAGCCACAACAATAAAACCACAGAGAAAACTCAACCTCATAGCCACATCTGCACGGCTTCAATTGCTGGTCAGTCAAATCCATCTCCTCAGCACAAAGAGGACAGGTCTTCTCACCCTCGTCACTCATGATTGATCCAGGACAAAACTAGTGAAAAAAATAAAAAAAAAATAATAAGCCGAAGAGAAAGAACATTAAAACAAATAACTAAAACCTTGATTCTGCTAGCAAATTGCAGCTTTAACCACAAAAATTACAATTCAAGTCGAACAATTCAGACGCGAAAAGGAGAGAATCTAAACAACGAGAACCATGGTCCAATTTCATAGTTTCATCCTAACATTAAAGGGTTCTGCAACACAATTTTAATACCAAATTTGATTAAATTATCAAGTTAGTCTCGAAAAATCACATGTTTAAGGGAGAAAAGGTCCAATTTCATAGTTCCATCCTAAGATTAAAGGCAAATTTGATTCAAATATCAAATTAGGCTAGAAAAGTCACATAATTTTCTCCTCTGCGAACAGAATCGATCTTCATGAGCCTTAGTAATTATAACTATTAACTAATATTTCAATAATCGACTATAGAAGAACCCTAAATTGAGTATACTGACAATTGAATAAACTATAAACCCTAGATTGTGAAATTGATATTCAATGATTATAAAAAGAAAAACATGTTACCTCGGAAGCTGCTTTAATGGAGGATAGAAAGATCAGAAGTCGCTTCAATGGAGATCGTGGAGTGCGCTTCAATGGAAAACTGAGAGAGATAGAAAGAGAGATAATGGGCAGATCTACGTTCATCCGTTTTTGATTACTCTGTATAAATTTGTAACAATACTAGATGGAAGCCCGTCTGATGCACGGTTTTTTCATCTAACATTTTAATTATTTGATTTATTATATTTAATAATTTCAGACAAAATTACAAAAGTTTAATATATATTTTTTTTAAGTATAATTTATAATGAATTTATTAAATATAAATAAATTGTAAATATGATATTCCGTTATATAAATTTTTAATAATTTAAATTCTAAATCATTATTCATTGTTTTACCATATCTTTTATTTCGATAGAATCACCAACCTCGTCCCCAACCAACCTACTACATCAATGGATAAATTGAACCGTGAAATGTTAGCCAAACTGAAATTGATATAAATTAAATCTTTACATTTTTTAATTCAAAAATAAAATACAAATCTTTCTTCTTATCGGTCGAAATAAGTATATTTCTTATGTCGCGCTCTAAATGCTCTCCAAAAATGCCTACTTTATTTATATATATATTAGATAGATTAGATTTTTTCGATTATATTAACGGTTTTTAAATATTCACAACAATTTGACTTTGATATCCTACCTATTAGTCTATTACGCCCTTTTCACTTCACCTTATTTTTGCTAAAGTGAAAATATATTTAGTGACTTCCTATTATATTTCTTTTTTAGGGTTACTAATTTTTACTGAACTGAAATTTTTTTTGAAACAATACTGAACTAAAATTACTTTTACTAAACTAAACTTATTTTAACTGAACTGAAATTATTTTTACTGAATATTATTTTTATAAGGTGAACTGAACAGGGCCTTACTGTTATGAAAAATGAACTATTAATAATACCCTTTAAAATACCCGTCAAAAAAAAAAAAAAAAAAAAAAAAAAACCCTTTAAAATGTGAATATACATGTGTTTTCCTCATTAATATGTATTGTACAAGTTTTATTTGCCTTTTAATTGCCTTTTTACTTCTAATAATCCCAACTAAGGTTTATTTTTTAATAATCCTAACTATGACCTGATTTACTTCTAATAATTCACAACATGCTTACGTAGGCGCGTTTCAAACGACGCCTACAATTTGGCGACTCCACTGGGGAGGATTCTTGGTTATTTATCGATTTGAGTGATCGGTACTTAATTGAGATGAGTGGATGAGACTTGAACGATTCTTAAATTGTTTCACGCGATCTAATTGGCGTTGTCACATATGCATATGCATTTTAGCTAACCTATTTTACCACAATAGTACGTGTTCTACGTATGTGGCTAGCCCACGAATATTTAATCTCTTTTGACCTGAAAACGTTCATGACAACAAGGGTTCATCCGAGTTTTTATATCCACCCAAACCATGGAGCCGAGTTCGATTTCATCACCAACTCGTGGAGCCGCTCGTTGGCATACACCCTCAAAGGAGGATGCCTTGCTAACGCGTCCAAACTCTTAACCATGGTACCCTTTTGACACCCAAATAAGCTTGACCATAGTCGAACATAGAAACAAGACTCTAGGTTGCGAACTTCATTGCATCATGTGTGACAATGTGCTTATATGTGCATATATTTTTTTTATTATTATTATTTTATTTCTTATCTAACCCTCCTTTTTAATCAGAATCGAGTCATAGTTCTTATTTTTTCTATTTTGAGTCAACTCAGATTTTTATTCTCGTATCCTGCACAAGCATTAACTTGTTTTGGTCATAGCGGAGTTTTAGAAAGTGTTAAGTGTCGTGCCACATATGGATCTGTAGCCCCGAATTTTATCTTTCATATGGCGTTGGTTGCATCCCAATCAGAGACACACACAAAAAAAAAAAAAAACACGAAATACTACAGCTTTTCCAGTTTAGGAGTTCTTTTTAGTGTCCAATCTTCCATTTATTTATTTTTTATTATTATTATTATTATTTTTTTTTTTTTTTTTTTTTTTAACTTTTCATGTCGAGATAGCCTTATCCAATCTTCTACTTCTTTTAGTCCTCTAATCCATGTCAACTTGTATAACATAGGATTGTAGATTTTATTTTGTTTTGTTTTATTTTTAATCTTTTTCCATGAGTCCTAACTCTTCTAGAATTCCAGTCCTCTTTCTAGTTTCTGGTGATTATTGTGCTAACCTTAACGTGTGTTCTTTGTATATGGTTGTGTTTGATCTTATTTATGATTAATGATTGTCAATGGACCGTTTTCACCTAATAAATAACATAAACATTAAAATTGGACAATATTAATCAAGTTAGTTTGTCTTTTAGTCTTTCCGTTCTATTTGGTCCTTAGGTCCTTCAGTTTTCACACCGTCTTTATGTCTAGGCATACGATCATATCACGAGTCTTAATAAACTCACCTAATCACACTTGTTGAGTCGTTGCACACACTTTGTATTCGAGTCATGCACCATATTGTTTATGATCGTATACTAGGACCATGCATGCATCGTTTTTCGTCATAATAGGAATGAGTGGAGTATTTCCCATTAAATTTCAAAATTCTTTCTCACACTCTTACTTTCCAATCCGAGTATTGAGTCAGTGCATTAAGTGAGCTCATCTTGTTCCACAGCACTTGAGTCCAAGGATCACTAGGCAACAGTTGGAAGAATAAGGGAATGACACTCCTTCCTTCTTTTCTTCCAATCAAAGCATCAGCAATAACAAACTTCTTGTCCCTCCTAGCGGCAAGAAGGAACTCATAAGCGGCCATGAAGACGAAGCATGAGACGAGCTTCCAATACAAGATTTCATGTTTTTTTCTTCTTTTGTTTCAACCCTTTCCTCCTAATAAGTCTAGCATAGGTTCTCCTTATTCATGTGTCTATGTGTCATGTTTTTTACCTTTTCCATTAATGAGCATTCGTTTCCTTTGCATTCGATCATGTCATTCACAAAAATAAATAAATAAATAAATAAAAATTTGCCGAACCAAGTACAAGGTATACCAATGATTTGAGACACCCTTTGCAACCCTGTCATTTCCCTTAAACCATTTTCAAACACTTATTCCATTTCTTCATTAACCACCTTGAGCCTCGTCTAACGTCTAGCCTCATTTATTCAACCCACATTCACCTAACCTTGGAATGGGAAGGTGTGTAATTTGTGTACTTTTCAAAAAGCAAGTTCAAAAAAAAAGAAAAACCAAAAAAAAGAAAAGAAAAGAAAAGAGAGAATGATAAAAACAAAACAATGTCTAAGGGCAAGTGTTCCAATGTCTTTGATATGAACACGTCTCGAATTGCATTTCTCATCGAGTGCTTAGTACCGTGCCTAAGAAACATGAATGCTAAGTGAGTGATGGATCGCATGATCCAAAATTGCTCACATTGATTAAATATAATTCAAAGCGAAATATAAAAAAAAATAATAAACTTGCAAAATTCAAATTTTTCAAATACACAATTACACATCTTGGGGGGCTTCTCTCGGGTCTTGAGCCTTTTATCCTTCTTCTTTAACCATCAGCTTAACCACATTACTGGAAGGAATAGTGTCCTTCGAACAAGTGTATTATTCCGATAGAGGGATCAGAATTATTAGAAAGCTAATTATTCAGTGAGGTCAAGTGATCGGAATGTCTAGCTTGAGGTCGATTTCGATCAGTAATATTAATGTACAATTAATATTACAGCTTAATCTTGACTGAACCCTTAGAGTAACCTAACCGAAACGACGAATTAATCCAAAGGATTAGATGAGTCATTAGAGTATTACGAACATAGACGTTAGATTCCGAGCTTAGAGCGTCGGAAACCGAGCATCGTAGTCGAGTCGAATTTAGGAATCGACGAGACAAGGAATTAAGCAAACAACAAGTCATCGCATGAGAAAATCCTAGCCTAAAAGTGGACTAGCCAATCGAGGGCTAGGATGGCTAGCATGCCTAGCCAGAGCCATTGCCGCAAGGCAAGGCTCGGCCCCAAGCTCAGCATGCCTAGCATGGCCGAGCATGCCATGCATGCAAGGCAAGGCCTGTCAGGGGCCAGCCGCACATGCTAGGCATGGCAGCAGCCAGCCCACACCATCGCAAGCAAGGGCCAGCAGCACATGCTAGCTGAGCCTTGCGCGCGAGGCTGGAGCATGCTGGGTTGTGCCTAGCACGAGCATCGCACTAGCAACAGTAACACGCTATGTGTGCGTGTGCTGGAGGCTGTGTGTGCTTGCATGCTGGGCTGCGCCTAGCACAAGCATTGAAGCAGCCGCTAGCTAGCGAATGCTAGCGATAGCAGCACAACACCAGCAGCTAGCAAGCTGTGCTTGCGGTATGTGCGCCCAACCTCCCTGGCAGCAGCCCGCATGCATGCGTGGCGTGCTTGTTAGGTAGCTCGCACATGCAGCCATGCTAGCAGCACATCCAAGCACCAGGCCACTAGCTGGGTGTGCCTTGGTGCGTAAGGCCTTGCGCCAGTTGGCTTGCGTTGGTTGGCTGGTGCGTGTGAGGGCGGTTTGTGTGGGTTTCTTGGGGAGAAAGGGGAGGGTGGTCCCCCCTTGTGGTCCTCACCTAACCCCTTGCTTTCCACTTGACACTTGTTGTTTGTTGATTTGATTTGATTTTTGAATTAAATAAATTGAATATATGCATTTTACCAACTCTCCAACATTCATGGGAGATTGGAATTCAAGGGCTCCCTTCCCTATAAATACCATTCATTTGACATTGGGAAGGGACACTTGAGTTGTGAAATTTAAGGGATCTCCAAGAAGAGAAAACCTTAGTTCTAATACTCTAAATTCTTTTTGTCTAGCCCCGATTAAGCTTCGGGGTAGGGGCCGTTCCGGTCGGGTCTCGAGGGTGAGAGCCGTCGGAGGCTTGCGCATTTGCGAAGCTTTAAGCTTTCAAGTACGAGCTCTTAGAAAGAGCGAAGCACACATCTAGGGTAAGATCGCTTTTTACTTCTTTCTCTCTCCTTGTTAATCAATTATGTGATTGTTAATTAATTAATATGCATGTTTAGTTACTTTAATTTGTGTGTGGATTTTGGGAGGATTTCATTCCGCGTAGTGTCGGACACTATGAAACC